ATGATAAAACTACCAAGTCGATAGATAGGAACAGTTTTTCCTCACCTGGCTGTCTCCTCCCGCTCAGTAGTTCTTCAGAGAAAGGCAGAGGCCTGTCAGTGTCTGTTGTATTTCATTACCTCTCTGCTTAAACCGCTGAAGCAGAAACGAGACTTCAACGTTTTCCGTTATCTAACAAGTAGCAAGTCTACGCCACTTTATAAATCAAAACCGTTTTTTTTTTTTGTTTTTTTTTGTTTTTAATTCACCAAAAACTGTTATGTAATCTGGAACGTTCGCTACGTTGAGATCCAGAGCTCCAGCTCTGGCAACTGCGTCATGCGTCACGGGCAGAAGGTCAAAGGTAACAAGGTGACCGGAGGGCTTATTATGTTGTACAAAAACAAACAAACAAACAAAAAATAATAATAATTTTAGTTCATGTTATTATGTGTCAGAAGAGGGCTTAGAAAATAATAATACCAAAAAACAAACAAACAAAAAAAAAATTGACCAAAAGTGCACTTGGGGGTAAGGAGCAAAAGGGGCAGGTGCTCAAGCACCCCAGACCCCCCTTTGCACGTGCCTGCTGCTGAACATCAAAAGCATGGAAGCGATTAATTAAAAAGGGGCTGCATGTTGGTTTAAACGCCTCTTCAGATTCTTGTTTACAGAGACCCCAGCCCCTTCTGGCCAAATATTAAAACATAATGTACATAGATGGATGAGTGGACGGACAATGCAACAAGGAGCAATTTCTGATAAAACTATTTTTCCAAAGTTGTCTTTTTCTATCCTTGTCCATTATTTTTCCATGATTTTCCACACAGTGTTGTCCTACATTTTGTGCAAAAACAGTCATCTGAAGTCCTGTCCACTGACATCGTAGTAATGTTTGTTGGAAAAGGGCTGACTTCCTGAGTACTGGCAGACAAATTAAAGGAATAATTCATGCAAAAATACAAAAAACTACAAAAATATCCCTTTTATCTGGAATCAAGCTGAGCAGACAGTTCTGGCTGGATTTGATTTAGATTTCTGCTTCTGCTGCAGTTCAGTGAATGTACTTTGCCACCCAGCTGTGACATATCTTCAAAAGATCCTACAACTCTGTCTGTGCAACTAAAGTCTAGCAGTAAAATAGTCCTTCTGAAGTTGTTTTATGGGAAACTTCAAGACAGCTTATAAGCATTCGATGCTCTGATCCAATCAGTCTAAATCGCTCTACTTTTTCTTTTCTTCCTTATTTTGTTTTTGGAGAAACGTTGCCATGGCACAATCGTCTCCTGTCATTTTTCTCCCTGTGCTGGAAAACGAAGGCAGCAAGCTGGGGCAGCCTCTTCTGTGTGACCTGCAGTTGCCACTCAGACTGACGGTGTCAGAAAAGCCCTTGTTGTTTCTAAACCCCCCCTCCCACCCCCCAACCAGAGCTGCAGGTCGAGGTTCAGCTTGCAGCGGGTGGGAGAGATTTCTCCGTTCCGCACGGAGGCAAATTAGCTGGCTTTTACGGCGCAGACAAACATTTCCTCCTACACATCCACACTATTTGTTTATCAGATATTGTAGTCAGTAAGAGCTACATTATGCATGAGGCTACACAATGCTTAATTACACTTGCATGATTTGGATTCCTCATTCAAATTGGGTTGTTTGATATGAGGACAATTCCTAAGAGAAAACATGTAATTACTGCACTATTTCCATTTGGAATGGAAGCCCCTGCTCGCTTGTATAAGTGATGATTGGATTTAATGTCAAACAAACTCTCTCTGTCATTCATTTAGAAACCTGCTTTTAATGCAGACTTTGGGAGTTTCTTCTTCTTCTTGGTGTAATGACGGCATTAAAGCCTGGGTTGTAAATTTCATATCCTACTTTTCTGCCACATAACACCTTCTTAACAAGGACCACTTTGTTGGAAACCATTTGATGATGCAGCTTTTGAAAGAATGATTTGAATTTGAAAGTGAGAGGCAAGTTGTGAAGCCCTTGCTAAGTGTTTTTTTTTTTTCTGCGTCAATCCAAACTTTTCTATTTATGAGCACAAGGACAACCAAAATGTTTGAATGGGTGAAACAGGATGGATGGATGGATGGATGGATGGAAAAATACATGCATGAGAGGATGGATGGTAGACGTGTATCCGTTCATCACCATCAGCCCTTTAGGAATAAGGTGATAAGCTGTGTAATTTACCAAGTCAGATGTGACGAAGCTCTATTTTAGTTGTTTTGAACCACTGTAAACCAGCCAGAGTCGGGGGTGGGGGGAGGGGTAATCACACCTTTTACAGTAATCCTCAAAACAACTTTCAGCTCAAAATCGGCTTTCCAGGAAAGTTGGAATTCCACTCTTATTACCGTGTGGAATAAATGCTTATCCGCGCTCTACCTTGGGAGTTTTTGGCAGCAACCACAAAATCCTTTTCAAAGAGACTGAAACTTAAGCAAACAGCATGTGGCGATTGGGGTAAATGTATTTGAATGAGCCCACTCCACTTCTTGCCGACATTAGCTTTTCAATGCTACATCTCTGACAGATGGAGAATAAAATGCGTCCACATCTCCAGTACGTAGTGTGATGTCCATTTTTTTTTTCCTTGTCCCACTCTTCAAATAAAAAAATAAACATAAACTGAACAGCAGGAACCCCAAGTAGTAAATAAACAGTGTGTTGATGCTGCCCTCTACTGGTGTTGCTGCAGCAAACGTTTGTAAATCTTTGGAAGAATTCACATACATGTAAATGTTAATGTTTTTCACACAGACTTTTGTGTCTGGACCGGCCTACAAATACCCCTTGATCTACTCCGTTCCATTCGTAGCTCCGGCTGCAGGTTTAGAGTTGGTGTAGAAGTCCAACCAGATCACCGCAGCTGGTACATTGGGCCTGTTGGCTGCTTCTTGGACGAATGCTCTCCTGTCCCAGCCTGTAATTTTAGGGGAATGAACATGCCTCAGTAGGTTTGCAGTCATGTCATTCTCTTCCATTTTCAGATGATGGATTCGACAGTCGCAGATGTCCAAAGCTTGGGATATTGTGTTTTTTTAACCTTACCTCACCACTTTCATGATGCGTTCCTTGGTGTTTGTGATGTTTGTTCGGTATTGTTTTTTTTAAAAAAGACACAAAAAAAACCCCATTGTAAACAAACATCTACATTTATACTTAGGTGACTGGATTCTTTCTTTGCCTGCACCGAGTTTTATCCTTGTCCTCACTTTGAGTTGATCTTGCATTAAAGGTTTCACGCTCGTCTTTGTGGCCAGTGCCCTTCAACTTTTGGCTGTTTATTTTCTTCAAATAGTTAAGTAATTAGCAGAATGCTGTAGAACCTGGCTGCCTGCTGAGGAGGCAATTACATAATTTGATTCAGATGCACTTCTCCAGTTATGTTTCCAATTGTTAAAAGACATCAGGCTCTCCAGAACTGGAATTTGAGATCCCTAGTCAAATATATAAAAATCCTAATTACAAAAAAAAAAAAAAAATTTAAAAAAGTTTGTGGTTTTAATATTAAAAATGTCAAAAGGGCATGAACACTTTGCAAGACACTGCCTACAGTCTTATAATTGGATAAACAATAACATCCAGATTTAGTATGTTTTCTGTGTCCATTTCAAAGTTATTTAAAAACAGGAAAAAAAAGGCACATTTTTGCCTATGCAAATATTACAATGTACTTAAACATTGTGATAACCGAACTCACAACGTCTAAGAATATGAGCAAGATGAACACTGCAATTTTAAACTAAATTAAAAAGAAAACCTTTAGCTTGGAAAGAAAAGCAGTCAGTTTAACGTCCCAGTCTGAGTCTGAACATTCATTTTCACGCTGCTAATGCTCCCTCTTTAAACTGTGAGGCGAAAAAAAAAATCATCTCTTGACATCTCCCTCTCCTGTAACTGCACTTACCATGACATTTTATTCCTTTAGCTTGTAATTGATTTCTCCTTCAGTTCATTAAATTGCCCGCAGAGCACCTGCAGCACAAAGCTAGTTAGCAGACGCCCAGCAGGAGCTTAATCCCTTAAAAAGAGGTGAATTAATGAGTGTTCGAGTAATGCATTGATTAAAGAATCAGTGCCTTTGTTTCTTTGCATGAATACTGTAATATTCAACAGTGTTAAGCACCAAGAAGAGCACATTTTTTCCAATATTTTTCCATCAATACAGATCTCAGTGTAATATCCTTTGGCTGATTGTGAATCCGTAATCTTCTCCGTCGAGGAGGTTATTAAAGGAAGACATCCCAGGAGTGTTACTGTCCATCATATTCAAAAAGCTTATTGCAGACTTTTCATTACATCCAGGCCATGTTCAAAAGGGGCCCCAGAAAAAAAAAAAAAAAGATTTTTGAGGTAGCTTTGTTTTGATACACATGATAGAGTCAAACAGTAAAAATGTACTTTCATCATTATGAGGAAGTTTAGTTTCCATTTTGTGCAAGTTGATGTAATAAATGCTAAAACACACAAATCTGATTATGATTATATATACACGCATACATACACTCATTAGCAGAACTGCAGAACTTGAGGTACTCGGGTGATGGAAAGCACCCTGACATATCTGCATTAATTAAATGCTGTAAGATGAGTTAAACATTTTATAGTTTAAAGTTGCATCCAATTTAATTTCCTCAGGAAAATATGGTTGCCATTTTCATTCTTCAGGTCTAAACATCACCTATTGAGTATCTATCCCATGGTGACCATCCTGGGCTGCTGTTCAGGACAAAGTCTCCTGCAAACACATCATGTTTAGGTTAGTAAAGGACCCAAGCACAGAGACTGATAATGGTGGAGAAAAAAAAACAGCATTCTTTTAATGATAAACAACAAACTACTCTGTAGACTTACAGTCAGATCCAAGGGACCTAGAAGGACATCATGACAGAAGGATCCAGCAATAAACAATGAACATTCAGGAGCTTAGATAGTGAGGAGTGTGAATGTTGACAAGAGGCAGGTGGCTGATTACTAACAGGGTGCAGCTGGGAGGGAAGGCAAACATGTAGACTGAGGGAAGAAGAACAATTAACACTAGAGCTGAACAAAGACTCAAGGAAACGAGCCAGAGGGCCAACACTGATCCAAGAACACAAAATCCAAATGCACAAAGAACAGAAAGCAAAAATAAACTACAGACAAAGGAATTAATTTGTATGCCGAGACCTTTTGAACGACTACGAATAAAAGGGATTGAACAGAATATGGTGGATATAAAGAAACAAAATGATCAAACTACTAACACCCCAGGTCCATGACAGAGAGCTCACCACCTGGAAAGACGGGATTCATCCTGATTATGTCGCGTATTAACATGAATGTAACTTCACCTAACCTGATGGCTACAAAAGAAAAGGCATCCAAAGTCCCCTCAAATCTCTCCTCTTTCACATAGTCACTAAAATAAATAAAAAAAAAAAAACTAAAAAAAAAAAAATTGCAGAAAAAAGAAAAAAAATGAGCCCCCAAACAAAAACTGAGACTAATTACCAAGCTGTTTACTTGCTGAAGGGGAATCACTAATTAACAACCAAATGTTTACTTCATGTCTTCTGTGTTCCTACTGAAAAATGCATTTTTCTTATGTAACGAAAAAAAAAAAGTTTGATCTTTAATTCCTTTTTGGAAAAAGGCTCATAACTGTTGACGGCAACAGACCTGACCAGCTTTGCTTCAGATCACTGAAAGTAAAACTCAAAAGAACGAGTAAATACTCTGCATTTTTATTCACGTCAACACTCCAAACATTTGAACTAAAAGCATCTTTTGCAAATCTACCTGCTTCTCTGACGAATGAAAGAGAAACCAGCAGCAGCTGTTCCATACATTTCAGCACACTTCCGTGAAAAACATGCCAACAGAGTTGTTTTTGTCTTTTCGAAAAGATTACACGGCCTACATCACGCAAAAGGTAAAGCAGCAGAATACATCTGTAAACATGAGTGATGTGTTTTATCTCTGCTGCAGCTCCCCCACCCCATCCCATCAGCGGCTTAGTTTGAGCGAGGTGGGATGAACGTCGCAGATGTCGAACCACTGCTGATCCACCTCCTTGTGTGGCATCAAGCCATTTCGCGGCAGAAAGGGCCGGCGCCAGCGTTCGCGGCTGCCCACCACTCGCCAGAAGCGCGTGCCCTTGAGCAGAAAGAGGGCATTGTGGGAGTAGGAGAAGTAGGCAGCGTCGATGCTGCCATCTGGATGGTCTCCGCTCTCCACCGGAGGGAAAACATCTCGGATGTGTTTGGGGAAGCCACTCGCCAAGCCGTTTGTTTCCACGCTGAATGCATACACCTGTTCAGACGGAGAGAGTTGGAGCATTTCGCAAAACAGAGATCTGACTAATTACAAATACCAGAGAAAGTGTAGGACTTTTGTCTGCTTGAATACGCTCCCAAAGGACACTGAAAAAAAAACAATTACCCAGTGCTCTTTACAAGCCAACTGCCAGGTGTTGTATTGTTAAAGATTTAAATGATTGGGTGATGTCATTTAATCATCTGTTCTCCCCTTGCTTTGACTTTTACTGCAAAGGTTAAATAATTAAACTGCACTTAGTTAACTGCAATATAAATCCAAGAATTTGTTTCTTACTTGAGCTCTTCTGAAGAAGTAGATGTGGGAGTCTCTCCTGTCATAAAAGGCCGAGTCAATCGGACTGGGAATCCCCGGGAAGCCCTCAGAAATCAGCCTCGGATAGCGGCGGCCCTCAGAGTCGTGCCTAAACACCCGGTCGTTCTCGCTGTCGTATCTCCAGAACTGCAGACCTTCAACAGCGACAGGCTGTCACACGGACTTCCCCTCAAATGTCCCACTTGTAGGAAAACGGTGGAAATGAAATAGTTTCTCTACCTTTAAAGAAGTAAACGGCCTCTCTTCTTCTGGACCACACGTGTACGTACGCGTCTACTCCATCGCTGGGGATCCCGTGCCAGCCGATTTGCAGCGCGACTGGGTCCCCGTAGCGCGTCCTGTTGTTTCTGTTCTCGTACAGCCAGTACCAGCCGTCTCTCATGAAGTACGTGTTGAAGCGGATCTTTACGTCCCCGTAGGGCGTCTTCTCTTTCCTGATCCAGTCAAACACGGTGCTGAACCGGCCTTTACAGCCACCTGGGGAAGGGGGGGGGGTGTGCAAACGTGAGGAGAAATAAGCAGCAATTACAAAAACAATCTCATGTAATTGTTATGTATCTCTATCCCACACTGAATCTCTTGGGATTTTTAGTTGAGTGTGTCCAAGAAGTGTTAGTATTAGAGCACCATATAGATGCTGAATAGCTTTTCTGTCCATCCAGTCCATCTCAAAGCTGGATTCATGGGGCAAATAGCTGGGCTGCATTATGGATCCAGGCCTGTAGATATGAGGCAGCCCCAAAACATGGCCGATCTCATGAACTGCCACCTAAGAGGAAGGATATGAAAGGGGGCAGTCAGTCGACACTTAGATTTTCCAGTAGTAACTGGCTATACTCAGCATACTTACTTACTTTAAGGAGGCTTATACCAGTGTGAGAACTGGGACCAGTGAAATGCTCATCATCGTCAAAATGGATATCTCCCAGGAACCACGCGTGGGCAAATTCCTGACCAGTGCCATCAAACTTTTGATTACATCCCAGATGTCTTCCTGTGAGGAAGGGACAATGTGAAGAAAAAGATAAAAGAAAAGAAAAAATGATTCCTATTTTTCATTTATATAAATTATAAAATAATCCAAAAACTAAAAAAAAAGAAAAAAAAAGATTTTCAATTAGGCATCAAAAGGCTATTTGATTAATCCTAATCACCTTTGTCAGCTTTATTTTAAAATCTACAGTAGTTAGTTTGACTGAATTATTCTACAATAAATAAAGGAATTTTTAAAACATAAATTTTAATCTGTGAAAACCACTAGCACAAAACCCCCCCCCCCCCCCAAAAAAAAAAACCCATTTTATCACTGACGAAATCTAAGGTATATTGTATTGTGGCAATTTAAATACAGAGTATTGATTCCTCTAAGTATTTATTAATGCAAAAGTAATGCATTTATTTCCCTGAAATTCTTTTCTTTTTTCCCCCCATCCTCAGTTAAAAAAATATTCATACTTGTAAATTGTGAAAACACATTCTAGACTTGACAAATACCTTTTGCTGTAAGCATATCTCCAGGTCTTTTGGTTTATATTTTCCACATCTAGAGACTGAAACACTTGCCAAACAGCTCAAGCTTAATCAGTTTGGATAAAGACCAATCTGTGAGCATCAGGTTTTTTTTTTTTTAAATCTTTCCACTCGGATATATTTAGGTCTGGAACTTTGAATGAGTCATCCTAACACATAAATATGCTTTGGTGCACAGTATATTTTCACATCACCTTTTGCATATTGGCTAGAAACATCCATTTTGGTTTCATCTGACCAATGCTACTGTAAGTTAGTCACAATTTTGATTAAATACATTTAAATTTGTGGCTGTAAAACACTCTGGCTCAAAAGTTCACTACAGAGTGACAGACATTACTAAAACCCAGTAAATTATGTACAATGCATTATGACAAAGTGAGTATATGACATACTGACTAATGCCCACCCGTGCCAAAGCCCAGCTTGATATCAACATCCTCCAAAGGTGACCAAGTATCTTCAACAAATTCCAGCGGAGACACCTCACTCCACATTCTGAAGGCCAACCTGAAGATGTACCTCTGCTCATCAACGGTCAGCTGGCTACTGTAACCTTCTCCAATTAACCGCCACCTCAGAACGTCCTTAGAAAACGCCATGTACCCAGATTCTGTCAAATCCCGCTTTTGCCTCTTTTTTGACACGAGATCAGCAAGGTGACGCCTTCTGTTCTGCAGAGGTTGACTCTGGCTTGAGCTGCTGCTGCTGCTGCTGTTTCTGTTTCCGGTTGGATTACCCAAACTATTGTTTTTGTGTGTATCATTTGAAATAGTCAGGAGGCTTTCTGTATCGTTAAAATTTAATATATCGTCCTCAGAAGAGTTTGATGAGCTGCCAATTATGCTGCTTTCTGTGTTGTTACCGTCGGCCTCGTCGAAAGTTTCATTCCAACTGTTTTCCAACTCCGAGCCACCGATGTGGCTCTCTGTTACAACATGTGGATTTGGGTCTGTCTCCTTGTCAGGAACCCCACACCTTGGTTTGTTCATCGCATCCTTGGTGGCATCATCAAACACTCCTGTAACAGGAAGTCCAGATACCATCTGAAACTCTTTAAGGGCTGAAACAAATGCTTGACTCTCAGATTCACTTTTGTGGACCTCGCCATGACTAGTTTTAGGTATGTCCCTTGAATGAGGCACTGAGGTTCCCTCTTGGATTGCAGTTTGAAAGTCATCCAGGAAGTCATCACTGAAGGAAATGCCACTTTGTTTCATCTGGATCTCCTCCCTCTGGGTTGGTTTGATAAATCCATACCTAGAAAGAAATAACTGAAAGGATATCCACAAGACAATTATTGTAAAAATACTATGAACCGTATTGAGATCCTCCTGCTGAAATGTTTTCCAGTTATTTTTTGTTGTCTGCAGCCATTTAAACATCAAACCAAGGAGCGTTTTCACAATTCCATGGCTGCGACTTTTGCTACTTGTAATTTTTATATGGAATAAGCCCCTAAGTATGTTAATATTAGCATATCACCAATGTTGGCATAATACACGTACCATGAGCACATCAGCAAATTTGACTAAGGTTAGCTTACATGCTTTTTCTTTTTTCTTTTCCATTTAAGTTTCATTAAAATGTCAGTAAAACATGGAAAAAATAAAATTTGAATAATTACCTCCGCTTCATATTCGTCTGTTATGACAGGAGCTTGGTGAGATGTAGGAATCTGCATGTCGGAATGATCCCTGTTGTGGAAAAGTTTCTCAGCATGGTTTGGGTTTGTCAGAAAAACTAAAAGCATCAGCTGGATAATAGTCAGCATCGTGTTTCCAGTCGACTCGTTGACCTTTGTGGAGGAACCAAGTAGTCCAAGGACAGAGCAACACTGCTTTATAAGCAAGTCCTGAGTTTCTACACACCCACTTTTAGCCACTTTCCTTAGTTGTGTGTGAAAAGTAAACTTCTCCTCGGTGAATACAACTGGATGTGTTATTCATGCTCCAGTTACTTAGATAAACAGTCGCTAACCTGTGGACTGGGCTACGATCTCACTTTCATGCGAACAACAAACGATGTCAACAAAACACAGCTTGCCATTTGTAATCACATTAACCAAGCTTTATTTTAAAAAACTAATCTCAACACTAACAAGTTTGAAATAAAATAAACTTCCTTGACCCTTCATGACACAAACATTTTTTCAGTGCAAATTTTAAGTCCAGCAATGGTGACATGAGCAGCAAAATATTAAACATGATTGGACTTTTTTTTTTTTATATAATGTTGAACCAGACAGACAACAGATAGATTGGTCGGATTTAAAGAGTAGATGACTCAGGATGGTCACTGTAGAGCCGTGGCTATCGCTGCTGCCAAATGCTCCGCCGTTGGCTTTTCAGCTGTGCAGCTCACGCAGAGGCCTTCCGCTGCCATGGCGTCCCGTGTAGTCGGCCCGATGGCGGCAAACTACAGACAAATTGAGTCAGACGCAAATATTTGTATTCAGGCACGTATTTGTATTCAGCAGTCCTTAATCAATACTTTGTAAAAATCACATTTTGCAAGGCGTTTGAGAAACGTCTCTACTTGTTTTGCAAATCTAGGGTTTAATTTAGAGCCACAGGATTACATTTCTTATGATAAAAGAGAGATTTAAAACAAACTAAAACAGACAATACCTATGGTCATGTATATACTGGGATACATGACATTACTTTAAAATTTTGCGCTACTTTGTGTTGGCATATCGCATAAAATTCCAATAAACTACGCTGTGGCTGTAATGTGACAATGTGTGAAAAAGCTTAGAAGACGTCTGCAAGCAAGTACTTATGAATATAATAAGTAAGTATGGGTGTAGTATTTTCTGACTTGGAATTCTTTAGAAAAATAAAAGAACCAGTGAACGATTCATATCTTCTTGTGAGCAATTATAAAGAAACTATACCTTTATTTCATTGAGTTGTTCGCCCGACAGCCTTCGCACTGCTTCCAGGCAAAACTTCACCCCGGATGGACTGAAGAAAGCTATACATGCTGGAGTTCCCTGTGAGTACATAAGTAAGTTACTATTTATAATATATTAAACAGCATTTTTTTAATTTTTTTTTTTTTACTTGAAAATACAGAAGAAGTTTGGTTTCACCTGCTCTGTGAAGTAGTTTTTCAGATTTTTCTCAAGATCTGGATGTTCAGCCGTTTGATAGACAGTCAGCGTCTCTAAGGGAACCCCTGGAAACAAAGAAATAAATCCCCCACGGTGACGAAGGTAGTGCAGTTATTATCTCATTAATTAGCTTAACCCCAGAGGGCATTTATGGACTTAAGTTTTAATTGTGAGACACAATAAAAGACAGTGCTTACCATTTTCCCTTAAAGCCGTGGGCAAGACTTCTCTTTTAATTGAGCCACAGGGGAAAAAAAGCGGTGGGATATCGGTGTCCTCTCCTAAGACAGAAAGAAGGACCACGTCACAGTGCTTAATAGAAATTTTCAATTTGCCTAATAAGCGTGAGAGAACAATACAGATCACATCATACTTTCAATAATAAGACGTGATAGGACATCAGCTGTCCCCGTGTCCTCTCCCAGGGGCTTCAGACCCAGACTTTGAACTGCACAGAGCAAAGCGCAAACAGAACAAAGATGAACACAAACCTTATGCTGATCATTCTTCACTAGATCATCTTCTTTATGTCGAGTTTTCATGTAACAATTTTTGATAATCGAGTGTGTTAAAATATCTATTTGACTGTCAATCTGTCATGTTTTGCATTGCTTGTATAATTAAATCAAACAATTCCACTAATTTGTGCACTTCAGCAATATGCTTATAGCTCTGCAAGTAGATGTTATTTTTGCCAACAATGAAATTACACAAAATCCTATTTTGACTGACGTCACAAGCAGTATTATATAATGAAAATTGGTCTCTTCCAGAGCAAACTTTCAGTCTGCAAAGACATTTAGCACTTGAGAGATCATGGGAAGAGTTTGTGAAGAAATTAGAAAGAGGTAAGGAATAAATGGAGATATATATTTCATAGGGATTTCATATCACACACCAACACAAAGTAGATTAAAATTGTGGAGTCAAAGTAAAATCAGGCTTAGTTTTCAAATGTATGCATCACAAAAAAATCCCAATAAAATATTCAAGCTTCATGTTGTGATGAGACACAACGTGGAAAAGTTGAACTACTACTATTGCAAGGCCTTGAATTGAGAATATCCTGATCATCTGTAAGACAGCGCTACATCCCAATCCACATGTTTACGTAAAACACCTGCAGCTTTACACGAGCAACCGCAAATGATAGAACAGTGAAAACTTCATTTCAAGCAAACAAGGATAAAACATTCCATTTTACACACTGCTGCAAAAATAAAAACGGTGTATGTGTCAGAGAAAGTAAATTCAGCCTTTTTTCTTTTTTTTAAATAGACAATGGAGAAGTTAAGCAAACATTGGGAAGTTTTCCACCTGCTTGTTGTCTGTATGTCACAGCAATCCGTCACTTGTGTCTAACAACTGGCTGACCGTACTCAAACCTCTTCACACATGTCTGCAAGCACCAGGTGCATGTCGCACTCAGATATAAATAGTTTATGAGGTGCAATATCCACTAGGAACGTTTAGGAAACGCTGATTTAAGAAAATTGTGCTCAACGGCTTACCTAATGCTGCGGTTGCCTTCCCGACCACATATATGGATTTTGAGTTCCATTTGTCTTTTATGGATTTATTCCATTCTGGATAAAGAAGACATGTTTTGCCAATCATAATGTAAAATTTAACTTCCAGAGAAACACACTACAAATGTCTGCTAATGCTTAAAGCATGTGCTTATTTTATGGGATAAATTCACCTTCTCTCCTTCCTCCCATGTCTAAACACATCTTCACAGCCTCCACTGCTCTGGGACTGGTAAAGATCAGGCCACCATGTTTCTCCGGCTGGAAAAGCTAATAAAAGCAATACATTCTATTTTAAAAACTTGTTAAAAACCCATGTTTCTTTTATGAATTTACGATGCTTATTTCTAATACAGTACTCATATTAAAGGTTATGTTTTCAGTGTGGGGTTATGCTGATACAGCATTAACAGATTACAATTTTTGAATTGTTGAACATTTTTGTTCCAGGGGTTGCAAACATAAAGGCATTTCTGTTTATGCATGATGGAGATATTTATTCCTTTATAATGAAACGTACCTTATCAGAAAAGGTGTTTAATGAGACAAACTTAAAAGACAAGACAGGGATGAGTGTTGCTTTGTGTCCATGCGATTCCAATTCCTTTAGACGCAGAAAATGACACATAAAAACCATTTCATCAATCACATTACTACGGTTTCTTCTGGATTCGGATAAGTGCGCTTCTACCTTCATGTAGGGATCAGGTGCAGATTCCTCGTCTCTCGGCTCTTTAAGTAGTAATACATGCATCCTGGCAAAGAAACGCTAGATAACTAAGAATACGGAGAAAGTAAGATTTTAGGTTCTTTTGTTGAAAGGGCAACGGAATACAGAAACCCAAAGTAGAAAAACGACCACTGACAGTGGGTGTGGAGGCTCTTATAAGTCAGTCACTCCCTAAAACTGTCACATACTGATAACGTTATTGACTCACCCTTACTGTGCTGGTGAACAACAGCAAGTACTGGCAATATTCACTAGCAGCAAACAGAAATTACAATTGTTGTCCTTTAAAGTTAAACACACAGTGATATTTTCGGAATACAACTGAGTGTTCTGCAGCCTGATTGTTATTGTTTACTATTGGTGACACATTAGCTATAGTGAAGAGAATATACCGAAAGCTACTAGTTATAAAATAGACAAAACAGAAACGGTTTGGACTTTTTGATTAAAATCAAGATATAACGTACCTTCAGCTCTCCATACAGATGTTCTCATGTATGATCAAGAATGGGTGTCCACAGATGACGTATTGCAGGTTTTTAACGTATAAATGATGTGTGCACAATCAGCTGAACAAGTGTTAATTTTAAAAGACCACATAAAAAAAATGTTACCGTGCGTTTAATACGGTTGTGCTTTCCCCAGTATTGCTGATTTTGATAGCGTCTAAACTGTGTTTTCCCCGGTTAGGGAGAATAGTTAATTCCATCTCCTGTTTGCAGTCAAGCCGACATTGCGGTTCCCATGTACAGCGGAGAGCGACAACCCTGTACGTTTAGAGCCAAAATGGCGGCCGCCGGGCTTTAGCTTCTGCGTAGATTCTGCTGAATAGATGTCGAAGAGCATAGAAGCTGGGTACAAGAGCTACGAGTTTGTTTCGCACGTCGACCTCTCTGCCATATTGCGAGTGCCACTTTTTAGAAAGACGCGTAAAAAAAGCTAAGAATGCGAGAGTTGACATATCCTTTCGTAGAGATCATAGCGGCGTCTGGTCTTCTATTTCTATGTCCTGAACTATGACCCTTTCCCCGCCCACCTAAAAATAAACGTGTTTCACGCTTGCGAGCATGGCTTCTTCGGCTAAGAGGAGAGCAGTTGGCGTGGGTGAAAATCCCGAAGAAAGTGAGAACAGCTCGGATGAGAACCCCGAGGATGATGATGAGTCCGTGGAGGAGGACAGCGATGAAGAAATTAATGAGGTGAAACAACAAATAACTCATTAAGTACTTAAATGGCATCCTTAGCCTGTTAGCTGGAATCTTCCGTTTATTTACGAGGTCTGCACACGAACCTTATTTGACGCTTTTCTTGTTATTGCTTTGCTGGAGTACGTGAAGCGAAATTTGCTTCACATTCTTACGTTTGTGCGTTTACTTTATTAGATTAAACACGTAAGCTTTTGGCCATTACTGTTGGTCTGTAATTTTCACCTTTTCCACTTTTTCTTTCAGGAGGTTTTGGTGGATTTTGAGGCGCACGCCATTTCATCCAATGATTTCAACGGCGTTAAGAAGCTGTTGAATCGGGTAAGAAACCGTATCTTTGTATGAAAAATCTGGTCTGCCCGAGAGAGCTGTTTATTGATGTCACTTCTGTTATGATTGGCCACAGCTCTTCCTGAAGGCTCACGTGGACGTATCGGAGATGACTGACATTATTATCCAGCAGAATCACGTTGGAAGTGTGGTCAAGGTGGGTCTATCATTACATTACATGCTTTTTGATCTCACTTGCTTTCTGTTAACGTTGTCCCTTCGTTTGGCTGCAGCAAGCCGAAGTGCCAGAGGACAGCGATGATGATGATCCAGATGAAGTGTTTGGGTTCATCACTATGCTCAACCTGACAGAGAGAAAGGTAACATTGCAGACATACGCAACCCTGAGAGGTTGTCCCCGGTGCTAAAAATCAATCATTCATCTGTCCAACAATCCAGTCGTGCATCCTTCATCTGTACATGCAGATGTTGTTTAGCCAATCAATTTTATTTTCTGTCAAACAATATCTGTTCACCCAAATCACCCAACAGATCAAACCAACCATTCAGTCGAATCATCCATCCGGTTCTCTGCTCTCTTTTCCTTCTCATTTCCCGCCATATTTAAAGCGTGATCTGTGTAGAAATATTGTCCATAAATTCATGATTAATGTCTGTATTCATGCTTTGAATGGGTTTTAAATTTGTGCCTCGGGAAAGACGCAACTTGGGAATTAAAAATGCTTTGAAATCCCTTTTAAATGTAAGGGGTGATTATTTTTATGTTTTATTTTGCAGGGTGTGCAGTGTGTGGAGGATGTCAAGGAGCTGGTAGTGGACCAGTGTGAGAAGAACGCTCCTCACAGCACAACAGAACAGCTCGAGAAGATCCTCAGCGACACGAGCAAACCTGTGGGTCTGCTGCTGAGCGAGCGCTTCATCAACGTACCTCCACAGATCGCCCTTCCTCTCCATAAACAGCTCCAGTGGGTCCTCGGTTTTACTTCTTATCGCTTCCTGGCTCAAATATTTTACATCGGCTAATCCGGGTTGCTAAAACAAAATTGATTTTGGTCTTCCAGGAAAGAAATGGCAGACGCCCAGAGGACAAACAAACCGAGCGGGAGGTGTCACTACTGCCTGATGATCAGCAAGACGTGCAAAGAGGCAACCAAGAGCATCCCAGCTAGGGGAGAAGCTCCAAAAGAGGAGTACATGTTTATCAATGCGGAGGAGGAATTCTTTCATGAGGTACAGTCATAAATCATACAAGCTGTGGAAGATTTAAACCAGATTGGATCTACAGGTCCCAGTAAATCAGAAATAATTAGTTCATTTTAGTAGTTTTATTCAAAATGTGAAAGTAGCATAGATTGCACAGTGACATGATATATTTGAGGTGTTTATTCCTGTTAGATTATGACTTACAGCTGATGAAAACCAAAAATTCAGTTTGTCATTAAATGCAAGTACAAAAAGGCGAATGTTACTGCCTACATAAGGTGCTGCATCTGAAGTTAATGTAAAGTTGAGTGGAAGGACAAAGTGTGGTGGAAGGTGCATGAGTGGGAAATCAACTGTTTTTGGTCCTCTGTGTTCATCTAGTTCAAAGTCAGCACATTAATGTAGGAGATCATACAAAATGAGACCTGACCAAGTACTGAACTATTATGCAATACAGTACACGAACATATTTCTCAGAATGTGTATTAAAATGCTTTTTATTGGGCTTACGTAAGATTTTGATTTGTGGCAAACAGATATTGGGTTTTCTTGAGTTGTAAATCATAAGAATTAACCCCCAGACCCCCCAAAAAATATTTTACTGAATTACCAAATCTTTAAATAAAATCCAAATTCACTGACTCTGCTTTTAGCTTATTCTTAGCTTTTGTTTTACAGCAAGCCATCATCAAGTTCCACTACTCGGTAGAAGAGGATGCAGATTCCTGTCTAAGTGGCAGGTGGTCGTCTGACGACGTTCCCATGAAGCCTTTCAGGACGGTGATGGTGATTCCTATGGACAGAATGCCTGCTGTAATGGAAAAACTAAAGGAATACCTGACTGTGTGAGCCAAGACTCAGACAATCTGGAAATTATGCAAAAAGGCTGTTTAAAACCTCGGCTACCGTTGGTGGCTTCCTGATTCTAAAAACAGCTTTTGTGGCTAAATACGTACAAGGCAACAGCAATTAAAAGACTAGCTTTTTAATTCTGTCTGAATAAATTTACTGTACAATAAGACTACACATAAGTTGTAATTAAGTCAAATGAAGTAAATGTATGCTTTTCATATTGAAATCCTGTTTTGTCCACTTCAGCAGTTTTCAAAGAAGCTTCATGATTACATCTTGCAAAAGAAAAAAAACAACCTCTGAAATATTAAGAGCTCATTCTTGTTTTTCCATTTCAACTCCTAAGGCTGTTTGTTGATCTAGAGAGAAATATAACAGCTTACGCATCTGAAATAACTTTTGGCATACTTAGTTGTTTTACACACAGTACTCTGGGATATATCTTTGGAAAAGTAGCAAATCTACATACTGGAACTTATTACTGATACCGTTTTCAGTGTCGGCTCTTTAGTCTTCAGTGAAGTGTTTACAAAAGCTTTCAGGCTACAAACAACCCCTGTAGGTTCTGTCTGCTCCAAATAGTTTACTTGCGTAAAACCCAGATGCTTCAGCTCACTGAATCACACATTTGTCAGTTTGTGTTCCAGCTGCACAGCTTCTGTCAGTGTCACTGTTTCTGTTTGTGGTTTGTTTCTTTGTGCAACGTCTGGATTCCGCGAAGTCCAACATGACTTGCAGTATGTCTTTGCTTTCACTAGGGGGCAGATTGTAGAAGAAGTACATCGGTGCCATTTCATTGAACCTAAAACACAAAATCATATTAAAAATATACATTCCAAGAAAATGTAGTTCATATAAAAGAGCAAAAAGAAAAAAAAATCTGTAGGTATTTTAAGATAAATATTTGTTTGGTAATTCAAACAGGAGCAATTATAAGGATTCCTACACTTTCTTAAATATTTGATTTGACTATTGTAAGTCATATCCAGGTATAAATAATTAAGGAAAAGTTTGTCCTACAAGTTTCTGTAGAACAAGTCCAAAAAATGTTCAGTAAATGTACTGGTTTTCTTAATGATTAATATTTATTTCAAGTACCTTAGAAAATCATTCCTTGACTTTAACAGTTTATCCAACAGTGTTTTGATCTTGACTTTTTGAATAAATGAGCAATTACAAACACAACTTCAAAACAGCTATTTTACTTCCCTTTTCAGTCTCTATATGACTTCACATTTAGAATAAATAGGAATTTCAGTTATTCAACTACCAAAAACTTATTTTTAGGATTTTTAGAGAAATAAAAGGAATAAAATTTTGCTTCCAAAAATCTGAATTTATTCTGAGAGTGATTCAAAACCAGGCTGCAATATTTGTTCAACAGGTACTTGTTCTGATCTATGTTCTTACAACTTATTAAAAAGCAGGTTCAAGGTGAATGTTTTGTGCTCAAATGCCCAGGTTAGAAAATGGAAAAAAAAAAAAAAAAGTGTCAGAACTCTTACTTATAATTCATATGCACATGTCTGCTGAACTAAACTCACATTTGAGGGGAAATCTCCGACACTGTTCTCAAACTGTTTTCAGACAGGGCGTATTCGTTGAAGACCACCCACTCTGGTAGGCCCAGTTTGTGTGGCTGAACTCCGTAGCCAGAGAATGGCTGCAACTGGGCCACGTGGTTGTTCGTCAGAATGAGATAATTCCCCGATCCGTCCACATCTCGAGCAATCTCCGCAAATGGGAAAAATAAAAAATAAAAGAGGAAAATGATAAAAATGAATGAAGCTGAAGAGTACAAAGAAATATCACTAATGTGCTTTTATTTCCTACCTGCATGAAGAATCCAGCCAGCAGGGCTCTTTTTATGTCGTTAGTGTTTGTCTTGGTTCCAAAGGCTGGCTC